AGCCAGAGCCCAAGGGCAGCTGGGCACGGGCACCTTCCAGGGGCTGTGGGAGTGCTGGGGGCACCCTGAGCCTCCTTTCCTGCAGCCTGAGCACCCCCAGCTCCCTCAGGGCTCCCTCAGCCTTTGTGTCCCAGCCCTTCCAAATCTCTCTTGTCCAGCCAAATCCTCAACAAAACAGGGCAGTGGTGTTGTTGTTGTACCTGGATCACTGCCTGCCAGCCTGGGATGTTCATTAATTAGCTGTGGTTAATGGGCATCAATTAAAACACAAGCTCTGCCTCACCATGAAGAAGAACTTGCTTCATTCCTTCCCTCCATGGAGAGTGGCAGAGCTCTGGAGCAGCTGCCCAGGGAAGCTGTGGAGTCTCTGTCTGGAGACATCCCAAAGGCACCAGGACGTGTCCCTGTGTCACCTGCCTTGGACTGGATGATTCCCAAAGGTCCCTTCCAACCCCAGCTGCTCTGGAATTCTGTGTTTCTGCAGGGCTGGAGCCCCAGCACAGATCACATCCCTCAGGGAATGAGCTGGGTTTTCCTCCCTGTTTCTATTTGTACTTTTTGGGGATTGGTCCGTGTTCCATCCAGGATTTATGTGGGCAGCACCTGTGACCTCAGATGGGGTTGAGCCATACTGCTTAATAAAAGATGATGGTGGCTGGAAATGTTCATTTATCCCAGCTATTTAAAATTCCCCAACTCTAGACATTCCCATTGATAATTTTCCTATTACCTAAAGTTCACCCAGCTGCTCCCATATTTTCCCCCATATTTTCACATGGAGCTTCACAGCTGGTGAGATAATGATTATATGGCCACAAAATCCACCAGGATGAGAACTCAAATCATATTTTGGTCCAAACAAGCAGAGGATCTGCTGGCAAATCCTACTGGCTGCTTTGCAAGGTGGAGATCTCCCTTCACCTCCCATCCCCATAAACATTTTAGGACACTCCCCAACTTTGGAAACAAAATTTAAAATGCTGTAGGGGGTGAGGAAAAAACCTCAATTTATTTGGAATGGAGATGGTTAAAAAACCCATAAAAGCAGAGGAGATCTGAGGCTCAAGGTAAAATTTTGCATGAGGAAATTTTGCTGCCTTTGGGCAAAGGATAATCCCAGCAAAGGATGGACAGGGAGGGAGAGGCTGAAATTGTGGGTGAGGAGATGCCAGTGATGCCCTGTAAAGGTGCCCAAGGAGTTCCAGAACAGGGATGGGGGAAGGAAAGGTCTATCTTAAAGGTCTCTTCCAACCTAGAATTTCTGTGATTCTGTGAAAGAATAAAAAGAAGCTGGGACTGTCTCAATCAAGGTTGAGCTGCTGAGATTGTACAGCTAAAAGGGCGTAAAAGGAAATTACACCCATCCAGATCCAGGACAAGGAGCCCCACTCAGCCTTATTTGTGCCTTTGAAAGATTCCCTGCAGCTCTTTGGGATTCTGAAAACCCAAAGTGCCTCAAGGCCACTGCAGGCTGGGATGGGAGCAGGGTTTGTGGCCAGCAAAGCTGTGCTGTGCTGTGCTGCCACCTCTCGCCCTGACAGCCCAGCTGGGGACACAAAGGGACACAAAGGGACACAAAGGGACACAAAGGGACCCACAGCCTCGTTTAAAGGTGGGCTTTCAAGCCAAAAGGGCAAAAAAAAAATCTCTGTAATTTTAAGGGAATGTTTCTTAAACCCAGAGAAAGAATTCTATTTTTTAATGTATGGTTTGATTTTTAAAAAAGGGGAAAATAAATGTTTGCGAGTTTGAGCGCTCAGATTTAGGCGTGGAAATGGCAAAAAAACCCAAAATAAATAATTTATAGGAGGAATATATTAAAAACCCAAATTCAGACCTAAGACTTCCACAATAATTGTGGAACTATATATATATATGTATACAATATAATTTCTATTATCTTTACAATGCAAGTTATATTTATAATTTCTATTTATAATGCCTTTT